GCTGCTCCGCTGATCCCGGTGCTGGGAGGCATATTACCCTTTTACTATATAGGATAGGGGCCTGGTGCATGGATATGGGCTGGCTGGTTTGCCCTGAAGGGTGTCCTGGATCAGGGTGGGGGTCCCCACTGGGGTGCCTGGCCAGTCTGGGTGAGGGGCTGAGGGCTGTTTTCAGGCTGGCGGGTGACTGAAGCTCCCAACCGCTCCTTTTTTTCTTTTTCTTTTTATTCTGGGCCAGCTTTAGCTCTGAGGCTGGCTCCAGCTCTTAGGGCTCCGCTGCTGAAAGCAGGTTTCTGGCCTTTGTTTACCTTCTGTATTTGAAACAATGTTGCAATCCTGCTGGCTGAAGCCCGGCCGACTAAAGCAGGTTTCTGGGGTTTTGTTTAGCTTCTGTATTTGTAACATAGTTGCTTAGAGTTGCAGCTCAGAGGCCGGCAGCAGCAGGCGGGGAACGTTGGAGTCCTCCTTCACTGAAGCAAGCAAGCCTCATGTTCGCTTCCAGCTGCCTGGCTGTCGGCCGCCATCTTGGCTGGCAGTTAATTTTCCTATCGCCCTGATTAGCCAATGGGAAGGGTAGCGGACGTACGCTGATTACCATGTTTCTCTTTTATTAGATAGGATTTGCTGAATGAACCCATTGAAGAACTTTTCTGAATATTTCAAATAGTTTCTAATCCAAATGACATTTAAAAAATAACAAGTAACTCACCCTGGCCAGTGTGGCTCAGTTAGTCGGAGCATTGTCCCATACGCCGAAAGGTCTTGGGTTCAATTCTAGGTCAGGCCTCAACCTAGGTTGAGGGTTTGATCCCCAGTTGGGGTGTGTCCGAAAGGCAACCAATTGATGTTTCTCACATCGATGTTTCTCTGTCTCCCTTCATCTCTCTAAAAAAATCAATAAGCATATCTTCAGATGAGGATTTTAAAAGAGTACACAAGTAACTTAATTTGACTGTAGCATGAGGCACATGAAAGGAAAACATAAGAGATAAGAGTTAAATTTTTAATATTTACATCAAATGAAAATATATTTTAAAATTAGATAAAGTGGAAGAGGGAAGAAGAATGTTATGTGTGCTGAACTCCTTATGTTTAAAAGGGATGCCAATTGATCTACTTCTTCATGTTCATAAATTTTAAAAAATAACTTTAAGTTTATGGTTCAGAGCTAATAATAAAGGAAGTAAGAATAGGTTTAACTTCAAAGAATAGGATTCAGGGAGCCTGTCACCTTGTATGTACTTCTCTATCATTTGGAGGGAAATTATACACAAGAATGCATATTGCTGTGATAATTAAAAAAACAAGAAAAGTGGGTTATGCCGAACCAGTTTGGCTCAGTGGAGAGAGTGTCGGCCTGCAGACTGAAGGGTCCCAGGTTCGATTCCGGTCAAGGGCATGTACCTTGGTTGCGGGCACACCCCCAATGGGGGGCGTGCAGGAGGCAGCTGATCAATATCTCTCATCGATGTTTCTGGCTCTCTACCCCTCTCCTTTCTTCTCTGTAGAAAATCAATACAATATTTTTTTTTAAAAAAAGTGGGTTTTGGCCATGGTAGACTTTCAATCACTCTACGATATACTTTATTCTTTAGTTTTAAAGCCTCACAATGCACACTCACATTGCTTGACATTGCTCCCCAGGCTCAGTCTTCAACTATAGGTTCCACAACAGTGATTACCAGGAGGATGACCGGATGGGGTAGGATGGGAGTGGCTGACATGTGAGTGGACATGGGGCAAATGATAAGAAACATCTCAGTAACTAATCATGCTCAAACAGCTCTGGTCTCTGACTTGCCCACAGTCCTTGCACAGGAAATTGCAAGGTCTGTCCAATATCTTGATAAACCTTGCTTAGTCACCAGCTTTTAATCCAGCTCCCTCACACATCTCCTGATTTAGAGGGCAGGGACGTGTCTCTGGCATTACTCAACCCCAGAAAGACTCTCCCCTTCAGCACAGGTCAGCTCTCCACCTCAGGCCAGAAGAATGGAAGAAAGGTAAGAATATATACCCAGAACTGACTTATGTCCAAAGCCAGTTACGGTTTTTGCTCTAAGTTCCCATCCCCATGATTCCCAGGCACCACATGCAGGGGTCCTGGTGCATCCTTCAGGGAAAAGCAGGAGACATGAAGCTCTCCTCTAGTATCTTTGGGTGCATCAACTCTGACTGTTGGAGATGCAAATGGGTCAACCAGAACCTTTCTCTCTTCTGATCCATCTCCCCACAGGCTCCCCTTCATTCCAACCATTCAAGTCTGGTGTCATGGAGAGAACTCTGCCTCAAATATTAATTTAGGGAGAAAAGTAAAATGTGAGCATTGCTTCCCAAGTCGGAACTGTTGTTAACCCAGATTTCACTTTTTTCCTTTTTTCCCTCTTCTCTTGTGGATATGACAGAGTACCAGGAGTAAACAGCCCAAACTGGGGTAAATGGGGGGTGTTTCATGAGGGACTATTGAGCGGGTTTAAAGGAAAGTGACAATGCATGGTGAAGCACCCTTAGGTAAGCAATAGAGGGGCACTGTTTCCACCCCAAGGCTTAAAGGGACCCGGGAAAGAGCAAGTGCACAGATAGAGCAGAGCCGTAATCATAGCAGCAGCAATAGGAAGGACCACCAGCCAGGAGGAGGAGCAGGCCCAGGCCAACACACTGCCCAGAGGGAGAGAGCCAGGAGATGAAAAGGCCAAATCTCTTTTTCCCTGCCCTCCAGTCTCCTGGTAGCAACCAGAAATCAGAAGGACATGATCTCACTGATGAGATACCATCATTACCAGGAAAACCCCTGGGTGGGTTCAGGCTGCCTATCACTGTGTCCAATAACGAAAGTAGGGTTGAATCATATAAGGTGTATATTGAGAAGGCTAGCCAACCAAGAAGACAGGGTGCTTACAAGCATTCAAATCCTGTCTTACAGCAAGGTGCAGGGGACAGGATTATAAAGGGAAAGGACCAGAGTGAGGCTGGGAACGGAATGCAGCTACGTGCAGCCCTGGAGGTCTGCAGACATCAGCTATTGTCCTTTAGTCATCAGGAGATGAGATGATGTTGATGAGCTGACATACTGAGCCACTTTGAGCCCAGTTCACGCAGCCATCCTCACACCTGCCCTAGCAAGAGATCACATTCCCTTTGTGTCCCTAAAGCATGGTCTTTCTCCTTGGTGGATGGGCCTGTTAGTCATGAGGGTGGACTGTGGTCATCTCTGCTCTTCCTGACTTCGTGCAGCTGAGGGGGAAACTCCAGCTGAGGACAGACCTAATACTTGGGTCCAGAGCCCTCTCCTGGTCTGTCAGATTCTATTCCAGACATTGATCTCCTTCTTCAGAACATTCTGGGGACATGACATCGCCTCCGGACAGTGAGTGGGAGCTGTGGTAGGGGGGCATGGTGGGACTACAGAATGTCCCCATGTCAGTAGCAGGTTTGTGTTGCAGTAGAGCAAGCCCAGGCTCTAGAGTCAGAGGGAGAACTGGGTTTGAATCCAGGTCCAGGACTCCAAGGCTGTGTGTCCTTCCATAAGTGTCTTAACCTCTGGACCCTCCTTTCCCGGCTCTGTAACATGGGACAGCAATAGCCCACAGCATGATGGCTCTGAGAATCATTGATCGTACCAGTGCCCAACTCTTGTTTTCTTCCAGGGTCACCACTGCAGGGTTTGAGAGCACAAATATGACTGTCACAGCCTGGGGGACCGAGCTCACACCAACCAATGGAAGTGACCAGGCTCTTTCTAAATGTAACAAAGAGACCGTGACCCCAGACGTGCTGGTCTTCACCGTGGCCCTGGTGGGGCTGGCAGGGAACGCGGTGGTGCTCTGGCTCCTAGGCTTCCGCATGCGCAGGAATGCCTTCTCTGTCTACATCCTCAACCTGGCGGGGGCCGACTTCCTCTTCCTCTGCTGCCGGATTATATATTCCCTGTGGACATTCATCAGTAACTTCCATTCCAGGTGCATTTCCATCCCCTACATTTTCATCACTGTGTCAAACTTTGCCTACATCTCAGGCCTGAGCTTTCTTAGCGCCATCAGCACGGAGCGCTGCCTGTCTGTCCTGTGGCCATTCTGGTACCGCTCCCGCCGCCCCAGACAACTGTCAGCCGTCACATGTGCCCTGCTCTGGGCCCTGTCCCTGCTGCTGAGCATCCTGGAAGGGAACTACTGTGGCTTCCTGCTGAGGAAACGTGACCAAACTTGGTGCCGGGCGTTTGATTTCATCATAGTTGTGTGGCTGATTTTGTTGTTTGTGCTTCTCTCTGGGTCCAGCCTGGCCCTGCTGACCAGACTGTGTGGCTCCCAGCGGGTGCCCCTGACCAGGCTCTACGTGGTCATCCTGCTCACAGTGCTGGCGTTCCTCGTCTTCGGCCTACCCTACGGCTTCAAGTGGTTTCTGTGTTACTGGACTCAGACACTTTGCAGTAAAACGTTTTCTTATTTTCTTAGAAGGACTTGGCTCATCCTGTCTAGTCTTAACAGCAGCGTCAACCCCATCATTTACTTTTTTGTTGGCTCCTTCAGGCAGCAGAGGCAGCTGCGGCAGACCCTCAAGTTGGTCCTGCAGAGGGCTTTGGAGGACATCACCGAGGTGAAGAAAAGTAGCAGAAGCCTTCCTCAGGAAACCAAGGAGATTTCAGGGAGCAGTTTCACACCGTGATTCTCTACCAAGCAGGGTTCTGTCAGAGAAGGAGTACTTATTATAGAGCTTTATATATTAACTAGAGGCCCAGTGCACAAAAATTTGTGCACTCGGGGGGCGGGGGAGAGGGGGTCCCCCAGCCCAGCCTGTGCCCTCTCGCAGTCTGGGACCCCTCAGGAGATAATGACCTGCTGGCTTAGGCCTGCTCCCAGGTGGCAGAGGGCAGGCCCAATCCCTAGGTGCAGCCCCTGGTCAGGCTCAGAGCAGGGCCGATTGGGGAGTTGGGGCGCCGCCCTCTGTCATGCACAGAGCAGGGCGGATCGGGAGGTTGCGATGCCACCCTCAGTCACCCTCAGGGTAGGGCCGATTGGGGGGTTGGGGCACCGCCCCCTGTCACACTCAAGGCAGGGTCGATAGGGAAGTTGCGGCACCACCCCCTGTCACGCACAGAGCAGGGCCCATCAGGGGGTTGGGGAGCTCCCCCCTGTCACTCACAGAGTAGGGCCAATAGGGGAGTTGGAGCACCGCCCCCTGTCACACACAGAGCAAGGCCCATGGAGGGGGGTTGGGGCACTACCCTCTATCACCCACAGAGCAGGGCGGATCAGGGGGTTGGGGCACCGCCACTGTCACACTCAGGGCAGGGCCGATGGGGAGGTTATGGCTCTACCCCGTCACACACAGAGCTGGGCCTGTGGGGGGGGGGGGAATTGGGGCACCACACCCTGTCACACACAGAGCAAGGCCCATGGAGGGGGGTTGGGGCACCACCCTCTATCACCCACAGAGCAGGGCCGATCAGGGGGTTGGGGAGCTCCCCCCTATCAGGCACAGAGCAGGGCCCGTGGGGGGGGAGGTGGTTGGGGCGCCGCAGCCTGTCACACACAGAGCAAGGCCCATGGAGGGGGGTTGGGGCACCACCCTCTATCACCCACAGAGCAGGGCCGATCAGGGGGTTGGGGAGCTCCCCCCTATCAGGCACAGAGCAGGGCCCGTGGGGGGGGAGGTGGTTGGGGCGCCGCAGCCTGTCACACACAGAGCAAGGCCCATGGAGGGGGGTTGGGGCACCACCCTCTATCACCCACAGAGCAGGGCCGATCAGGGGGTTGGGGAGCTCCCCCCTATCAGGCACAGAGCAGGGCCCGTGGGGGGGGAGGTGGTTGGGGCGCCGCAGCCTGTCACACACAGAGCAAGGCCCATGGAGGGGGGTTGGGGCACCACCCTCTATCACCCACAGAGCAGGGCCGATCAGGGGGTTGGGGAGCTCCCCCCTATCAGGCACAGAGCAGGGCCCGTGGGGGGGGAGGTGGTTGGGGCGCCGCAGCCTGTCACACACAGAGCAAGGCCCATGGAGGGGGGTTGGGGCACCACCCTCTATCACCCACAGAGCAGGGCCGATCAGGGGGTTGGGGAGCTCCCCCCTATCAGGCACAGAGCAGGGCCCGTGGGGGGGGAGGTGGTTGGGGCGCCGCAGCCTGTCACACACAGAGCAAGGCCCATGGAGGGGGGTTGGGGCACCACCCTCTATCACCCACAGAGCAGGGCCGATCAGGGGGTTGGGGAGCTCCCCCCTATCAGGCACAGAGCAGGGCCCGTGGGGGGGGAGGTGGTTGGGGCGCCGCAGCCTGTCACACACAGAGCAAGGCCCATGGAGGGGGGTTGGGGCACCACCCTCTATCACCCACAGAGCAGGGCCGATCAGGGGGTTGGGGAGCTCCCCCCTATCAGGCACAGAGCAGGGCCCGTGGGGGGGGAGGTGGTTGGGGCGCCGCAGCCTGTCACACACAGAGCAAGGCCCATGGAGGGGGGTTGGGGCACCACCCTCTATCACCCACAGAGCAGGGCCGATCAGGGGGTTGGGGAGCTCCCCCCTATCAGGCACAGAGCAGGGCCCGTGGGGGGGGAGGTGGTTGGGGCGCCGCAGCCTGTCACACACAGAGCAAGGCCCATGGAGGGGGGTTGGGGCACCACCCTCTATCACCCACAGAGCAGGGCCGATCAGGGGGTTGGGGAGCTCCCCCCTATCAGGCACAGAGCAGGGCCCGTGGGGGGGGAGGTGGTTGGGGCGCCGCAGCCTGTCACACACAGAGCAAGGCCCATGGAGGGGGGTTGGGGCACCACCCTCTATCACCCACAGAGCAGGGCCGATCAGGGGGTTGGGGAGCTCCCCCCTATCAGGCACAGAGCAGGGCCCGTGGGGGGGGAGGTGGTTGGGGCGCCGCAGCCTGTCACACACAGAGCAAGGCCCATGGAGGGGGGTTGGGGCACCACCCTCTATCACCCACAGAGCAGGGCCGATCAGGGGGTTGGGGAGCTCCCCCCTATCAGGCACAGAGCAGGGCCCGTGGGGGGGGAGGTGGTTGGGGCGCCGCAGCCTGTCACACACAGAGCAAGGCCCATGGAGGGGGGTTGGGGCACCACCCTCTATCACCCACAGAGCAGGGCCGATCAGGGGGTTGGGGAGCTCCCCCCTATCAGGCACAGAGCAGGGCCCGTGGGGGGGGAGGTGGTTGGGGCGCCGCAGCCTGTCACACACAGAGCAAGGCCCATGGAGGGGGGTTGGGGCACCACCCTCTATTACCCACAGAGCAGGGCGGATCAGGGGGTTGGGGCACCGCCCCCTGTCACACTCAAGGCAGGGTCGATGGGGAGGTTGCAGCGCCACCCCCTGTCACGCACAGAGCAGGGCCAATCCGGGGGTTGGGGCGCTGCCCCCTGTCACACTGATTCCGGTGCCGGGAGGCATATTACCCTTTTACTATATAGAATAGAGGCCTAGTGCACGGGTGGGGGCTGGCTGGTTTGCCCTGAAGGGGGTCCTGGATCAGGGTGGGGGTCCCCACTGGGGTGCCTGGCCAGTCTGGGGGAGGGGCTGAGGGCTGTTTTCCGGCTGGCGAGTGACTGAAGCTTCCAACCGCTCCTTGTTTTCTTTTCTTTTTTTTTTTTTATTTTGGGCCAGCTTTAGCTCTGAGGCCTCGGCTGCTGAAAGCAGATTTCTGGCCTTTATTTACCTTCTGTATTTGATACAATGTTGCAGTCCGGCTGGCTGAAGCCCAGCTGACTAAAGCAGGTTTCTGGGGTTTTGTTTACCTTCTTATTTGCAACATAGTATATAGTTGCTTAGAGTTGCAACTGAGAGGCTGGCAAGTGAGGCAGGGAACGTTGGAGTCCGCCTTCAGTGGAGCAAGCAAGCCTCCCTGCTCGCTTCAGTGCCTGGCTGCCGGCCGCCATCTTGGCTGGCAGGTAATTTGCATATCGCCCTGATTAGCCCATGGGAAGGGTAGCGGATGTACGGCTAATTACTATGTTTCTCTTTTATTAGATAGGACTAGAGGCCCAGTGCACAAAATTCGTGCATGGGGGGGGGGCCTCAGTCCCTCAGCCCAGCCTGCACCCTCTCGCAATCTGGGACCGCTTCCTCCTAACTGCTCGTCTGCCTACCTGCCTGATCACCCCTAACCACTCTACCTGCTTGCCCGCCTGATCAGCCCTAACCACTCGCCTCCCTGCCTGATCACCCCTAACCATTCTGCGTGGCTGCCTGATTGCCCCTTACCACTCGCCTGCCTGCCAGATTGCCCCTAACCACCTCTGCCTCAGCCCCTGCCACCGAGCCTTTGTCCGGAAGGACATCTGGAATGACATCCAGAAGGTCATTAGGCTCTCCGGTCTAATTAGCATATTACACTTTTATTATTATTGATAGTGTAAAATATAAACAGGGTGTCCCAAAAAATACACACTTTAACAGCTGATAGCTCAATTTTGAAAATGAAATGTATTTTAATAAATGCTGCCTTTATAATTATTCAAATCAGGTGTATACATTGTGTATATAGTGATATATAGTATATAGATAATATATACATACACATGTATATGGTTAAACTGTCTCTATAAGGCTATTGTCTGTCTGATTCTAGAGCTTGAAGTATGCAGGGCAAACTAGAACCCAGGAGCCTGAGCAAAAACCCATGATAGCTGACCAGCATTCACGTCAGTCTCTCCCAAGGCCCGCATTTTGATGATGTGAGAGTTCTGCAGGAGAAATTGGCTCCCTTCATCATGGAACTGAACACACAGCTGGCCCGGGGTCAGAGACACTGAAGGCAGATCCAAGGGAAGGTGAAATAGCTGCAGGCTCAGCTGCTGCTGCCTCACACCAATGCGATGAGCGTGCATGAGCACCCTGGTGCCCTTGCACTGATCTTCTATGCATAAAAACAGTATGGCTGCTGCTTTATTTCCAACCACCAAATCTTCTGCAAATTGTCTCTTGATGCCTACCCTAACCAGAAACATACATGGAAGGAAAAAGAATTCTGGAAAACATAGTTAAGCCTAGCCAAGTTGACACTTTCAAATCCATCACAGTCTACCCCTTGGCACCCATAAACACCTTATCAAACCATAATAAACTCAAAATAAAGCTAATAAAGCAAAGTCAACCTTCTTCTTAACATGATATACCTATTTCAGCTATATGTGAAGTATACCAACCTTTCCCCTGAAAGAAGGTACATCTTTTCTTGTACTTTGGACCATTTTTTTTTTTTTTTTTTTTTTTTTTTTTTTTTGAAGTGCCTGTTCAAGTCTGCTACCCACTTTTACTGGGTTGTCTATCTCTTTACATTGATTTGTTGGAGTCCTTTGTATATTTTATATAAAATTCCTTTGTCAGATTTATGTGTTGCATAAATATTTTTTTTCCAAGTCTGGGATTTGCTTATTCATTTTTAAAGTATCTTCTGATGGGCAGAAGTTTTGGGTTTTTATGAAATCTAATTTATTAGTTTTCTTTTCTTTTATGATTAGTGCTTTATGCATTTTAAGAAATCTTTGCCTACTGCGAAGGAAACAAAGGTATTCTCCAATGTTTTCTTCTAACAGTATTATAATTTTTGCTCTTTATAAAAAAAGTAAAATTACTTTTAGATGTATGAGACATTTCAAATTCATTTCTGTGGAGAGTGTGAGGTAGGGGTCAAGATTTATTTTTCCCCCCATACAGTTATCCA